CTCTGATCAGTCTACCCAGCTTCTGTGGGGTGAGTTACGTGCCTGCCAGGATGGCCAGCACCAGTCCTGTGATCACTTTATATAAGAATATCAGGCGGAGTCCCTCTCGTCTGTCTTTAAGTGGGGGGATGTCAAATCTATTTAAGAGGCCAGTGACAAACAATAGCTGTGTTTATTATTTTTTAAACTAATATTTGTTGAACATTTTCTTAACCCCCTAAAAATGTTAAAATGATTTTTTTTAAACAATCATATTGCAAAATTACCTGCAGTCCACAAAGAAATTAAAAAAAAAAAGTATATCTTGTATAAAATATAAAAAAAATAATGGTGGGCCTAATTTATAATGAAACATTTTAAATATTATTTGCTATGTCTCCCCTTTCTTGTTTGAATATTTAAAGATTTACTTTCGTATACACTTCAAAATAAAAATTAAAATAATTAATAATTAAAGGAAAAAGTAGGAAATAAAGATTTTTAATGCAAATAATTATCTTAGCCAACTAAAAAGTATAAAGTAAAAAAAAGTAGCTTCACTCATGTTGTAATTGTAACTTTGAAAATAAATATTTATTTCAAAACTTGAATCTCTATAGTAAAACTTTTGTTATTAATAAAAATAAAATTGGGTTTCTATACACATTTTTAATATTATTCTGGTTTTCTCTTATGTAGTATAAATTCTGAATTGGAAACAGAACACAAAAGACATCAGAATTTAGTGATCAAAGATTCCAATGGTCGCTCTTATAGAGTTGATTTTACAAAGAATCTGGAGTATTTGCTAGATTCCCAAGGAAATGTTACTAACAAGACCTCCCAAATCAGGAGATGTGATCTAACTAAAGGTGAGCTTTATCAACTACATAGGCCTGCATTTTTATTTAAGATTAGTATACTAAACATGCTCAACTGTAACTAGCCATGCATTTAAACTGTATTTTCTATTGTTATACTGTAAAAAAATATCTGGATGCTAAGATAGCTTTTTCAATATATTACTAACTCCCCTTTGCATAAGCCAGTGCTGTCCAACTTTTTTGACTCCGGGGGTCAAATTTTATCCTTTTGTAAAACCTAGGACCATGCATGACATCTCAAAAGAAATAAATTTTTAAAAATTACTTTTTAGAAAATGATTCAATTTATTAACATTTCGTACCTTATGCATAAAGAATCATATACCTGTTAGCAGTATCATCTAAATGAATAAAAACTATAGCACATCTTTAATGCCATAATTTGCTTTGACTTGAACTTGCAATCTTCTTAATTTGTGGCTGGTATTCACTAACTGCTGCCCTTATTAGGTTTCCTAAATGTTTTTCAGTCTATGGGTTTCATTTTTTGGACTTAATGTCCATCATTACAGAGAATCCAGCTTCACAGACATGGTCAATATCTTCTTACAACATTTCAGTGGTCATTCATCTGAAGAAACATAGGTCATCTATAATTCAGTGGCAACACATTCGTATGTTTTTCACAAAGAGCCATGTTACGCTGAATTTTGATGATTTCAAGCTGTACTGCACCTTCATCTGCTCCTAATAATGACACCATTTTTGTGGCTACAATAGAGATATCACACTTAAAGGGATTTTTTAATAAAAAGTAAAACAGGAGTAAGACTGAGAATATATTTAAAACAATCTGTGAAATCTATCTTGAAATTTTGTAACACTTGATTTAATGGCTCACTTGTAAACAGCCTTGGAAGTGGTTGTGCAGCCTTTGCAAGGGTTGAGAAGTGAGTAAAATTCGACTGATTTAATAGAGTATTGAATAAAAAAAAACTAATTTCTTTCATCAGCCTTGGTAAGATTTGAAAATGTCCTTGCAATTTTACTTTAACTTTATTAAGGTGATCTGTGATATCAGTGAGAAATGCTAGCCTTACAATAAACTCAGGAATTTCCATATAATTTAACAAATCACACTTTGCTTTGGACCTGAGAAACAGTTTCACTTCTTCAATTAGATCCCAAAATTTTGCCAGCACTTTCCCTTTGCTCAGACAATGAACATCAATATAAAGAAAAAAATCACCCCAAAATTTTTAATATAATTCAAAGTGAGTCTCAAAATCTGTATGCACTGTCTTCTTGAGGTGTCTCTGCAGATTGGCCTTTTTCATAACAGAAATACTAGTCTGGCTTATCAAACACAATGGCTTTTCATGAAACAAAAAAAACAAAAAATTCCAGTTCCCAGGAAGTGTTAAAAGTACAATTTTCTTCTGTAACATTCCGTTTTGTACTTGCCATTTTGGCTTTATCTTTTTAGAAATAAAAATGGTTTCAAGAATTGTTCGACCTGTCTCTCAGAATTTCTCCCTGACTCCACTGCACTAACTAAAACACAGCTTTTACTTTTATGTTGCTTTCAATTCCTGGGATCGATAATACTCCGATCACTGAATACCAGGTATTCAACTGGTTCACATTCCCCTCCTGTCAATTGTGACACCTTCAGTAGCCCATATCTCACCTTGTTAACTCCCGTCTTATTATTATCATCCTACAAAGCCCAGTTGCTTTAACACCTGGCGCTCACTTATCTAGTTCATCTAAACCAGTACCGTTGGTCTGCACAGACATTTTTACACTAACCAGCTAATTACACATTAAGTTAACAAACTTATAGTTTCCTATTTCATCTTTCCTTTAGTAACTGTGCCCATAAACCACACCCCCTCCCCATTTTTAGGCTGGTCGAAGCAGTGAAAAGAATGATAAGTTTGTATCCGATTTCATGTCATCCCATATTCTAACATGGTTGATATACTGACGTTCTTAACATAAATTACAGCTATCTGTCAAGCATCCCTCTCCTTTTGCCACACCTCCCCCTTTTTTCCACTGCCACTACTTCTCCTGCACTCTCATGCAATTTCCGAACAATACTGAATCTATGAATGTCGTTTTTTTTCCCCATCTTAATCTAACATGTTTATTTTGTTACACAAGTGGTAAAAATGTCTCAAGCTCTGGTGGGCCATTTAAAACATATCTGTGGTCCCCATGCATCCCACATCTGTGGGTTGGACAGCGCAGTTCAGTAGCATCAAGCTTCTTTTTCTCCTTCACTCACTAAATCAGAAACAGATTGGTTGTTGTAAATTGTGCTTTGAATTGTTCTAAAGATCAACATTGAAATTAGGTCTCAGAATTTCTCCCTGACTCCACTGCACTAACTAAAACACAGCTTTTACTTTTATGTTGCTTTCAATTCCTGGGATCGATAATACTCCGATCACTGAATACCAGGTATTCAACTGGTTCACATTCCTCTCCTGTCAATTGTGACCATATCTCACCTTGTTAACTCCCGTCTTATTATTATCATCCTACAAAGCTCAGTTGCTTTAACACCTGGCGCTCACTTATCTAGTTCATCTAAACCAGTACCGTTGGTCTGCACAGACATTTTTACACTAACCAGCTAATTACACATCAAGTTAACAAACTTATAGTTTCCTATTTCATCTTTCCTTTAGTAACTGTGCCCATAAACCACACCCCCTCCCCATTTTTAGGCTGGTCGAAGCAGTGAAAAGAATAATAAGTTTGTATCCGATTTCATATCACCCCATATTCCAACATGGTTAATCTACTGACGTTCTTAACATAAATTACATCTATCTGTCAAGCATCCCTCTCCTTTTGCCACACCTCCCCCTTTTTTTCTACTGCCACTACTTCTCCTGCACTCTCATGCAATTTCCGAATAATACTGAATCTATGAATGTCGTTTTTTTCCCCCATCTAAATCTAACATGTTTATTTTGTTACACAAATGGTAAAAATGTCTCAAGCTCTGGTGGGCCATTTAAAACATATCTGTGGTCCCCATGCAGCCCACAGCTGTGGGTTGGACAGCGCAGTTCAGTAGCATCAAGCTTCTTTTTCTCCTTCACTCACTAAATCAGAAACAGATTGGTTGTTGTAAATTGTGCTTTGAATTGTTCTAAAGATCAACATTGAAATTAGGGCGTACAAAAAACTAATTCCTTTTCCAAATTTTTCTCTTCATTTTTTTTCTGATCTGGTTCATTAGAAATTAAAAATTTAATTTAAAAAAAAAATTTTCTGAATTTAATTAAATGAGTTAAAATCCTTGCTATGCATGCAGGAGAAGTTTCAAGTAAAACCAAGATGTTCACTCTTAAACTATTAAGTGTGCTAAACATTAATTTCTATCCATTAGGCCTATACATATTTGTGTGCTCAGAAGAAAATCCTTTCTAGCAAAATGATTCACAAATAGTTGTTCTTATAGAAATTATTACCCCTAAAGTCATGGTAATAATAAACCTTGTATAAACATTTTTACCTTTCATGACCACAGCACGCGAATAGGAGCAGTGTATTCAAATAAAAAAGTCCAGACTTTTCCAACTCTGTTTTTGACACTATTTCAAATTAGATTCAAATTCAAATTAGCTGATAAAAAAATCAGTAAAGTCTTTTAACTTATAAGCTCGAGTGTCTTTATTAATGATAACATAAATATGCAATTACACCAAATGAATGTTTACTCAAAATAAATATAGGCCTATCACATTTATCTATAAAATAAAATAATTCAGACAATGTAATTAATAAATGGATCATGATGACCAACTTATTGCTATTGTGGAAGTCAATATTCAAGGCAATTGACACAAAATTTATGTAGAATTATGTTAAGCTTCTTAAGGAATGTCACTGTAGAAGACACAAAGAGATCTGACACAAAATAATAGAGAAATATCTGTGAAGCCTTACAGAAGCTGATAAGGCTAACTATGCTAGCCGGTGAGGCTAACTATGCTAACAGCTCTAACAGATGTAGCCGATAGACAAAAGTTGCATCCCTAGGCTCCATTTGGAAATGAGGAGTTAATAAATCCATTTCCAAATCATCAATAAGATAGACATTTTGCATTATCTACATAACAGCACTTCTAAATATCTTTTTCTACTAAAATTAAAAGATTTTGGACATTTTCAATATTTCTGTAATTTCTTGGAATGTTTAGGTTAATTAATAATTTTAAAAACATGATCCGACTTTTCTTAAGAATGTTTTTAAGAATTGCACTTGGTTATTTCTTGAACAGAGGAGCCGCTTCCAACTCACTGGGATTCAATGGAAAGTGATGAAACTGTGAAGCTAGTTGAATTATCAACAAAGTCTAAAGAATACAAAGAAATATTGAAAAAGCTTCAAACAGCTAATGTTAATTTTGCAACAAGAAAGGTAAAATTCTTAAATTTTAAGGTATTTTATATTAATACCAAAAACAAAAAAAAAGAATTGTAATGCATTTAAACTTAAATTATGAACACTATGGTTGCTTTCTCATCTTGTTCCTGCCCTCTTTAGTTGTAAATATTTCTAATAGTTCTAATTACTCTAATAAAATTCAAAATTATGGTTGTATTATTGTATTACATTTTTTAATTGAGGGAAAGTACAGAAGGAATGAGATATTTCTTCTCTTTAATTCAGTGATGATATCAACAAAATAGCAAGTTTCATTTATTTAATATTTTCAAATTTTCATTTGAAGTCTTTTCTTTTGTGAATGTCTTAAAGAAAAGTAGAGACTTTCAAATCTTTACATTACAGTTTCTCTAATGGTTACTGAGCAGTGAAAGAATTTAATTTGATCTCCCGATGTTAGACTTTCATTAAAGGCATGAATTTGAAGAAATAAATAGGCCTACACTAAATTTTCCAGTATGCATCATTGAAAAATAAATTATTGGTCTCATTTTTCATCAATCAATAAAAGTCTCAAATTAATACTGTTACCAGGTTTGTATGACAAAATTTGGTATCAAATGAAAGATAATTGAATGGACTTAATGTTTATAAACTTAATTCTTCAGTTTAACTAAAATAAACTACCCCAAATGACATCCAAATAGCATTTAGTCTAAAGGGACCCAGGTCCGAATAGCGGCGATGTGTGTCCATTCAATTATCTTTTATTCGATACAAAATTTTATCTTACAAACCCAAAAATAATGTTTTAAACATTTTTTAATCCCAACCTCTCACTTCTGGTAGCCGGGTCCGAATAGCCACTTCGTAACTTTAAGGTCTACATTTGACCTCTTCTACCCATGAAGATACCTAAATAACCAAATTATAATCAATAGGCATGTATATACATTTAATTTTTTTTTAAAGTGGGGCAGGGTGCAGTCATGAAACCCTGAAATGATATCATAAAATATGTACTTTAGAAACTGCTGTCAAATATATCTCTGCTCAAATACAATGGCTTGAGCTAAATTATTTTAACTGTATTTTGAGAGAATTTAAATTGCAATGTTTATTATCTGTACAGATTGAGAGGGTGCAGAACAAGACTCTTTACCAACAATACTCCGTAAAGAAACGTGAAATGGACTCACGCAACCCACCTGGCCATGAAAATGAAAAGTTGTTGTATCATGGCACTGCATTTGCAAACACAGATCCTATCAACCATAGTGGTTTTAATCGCAATTACAAAACAGGTAAGCTTCATACAGATTTCAAATAATTTTGATAAATTTTGTTAAGAATAATGGCAAGGAGTAAATAGCTCAGCAGACAATGAAAAATAAAATGTTTAATTTATTTTTCATAACTAAAATGTTTAATTTATTTTTCATAACTAAAATTAACTCGTTTCTTTATATTACACTTTATGAAATAATCAACCAACCAAGTTAAAAAAACAACAACTTTATTCTAGAATTGCTCTCACAAATTTTTCAATTTACAAACTTCGTGTTAGTTACTCATTAGATAAATTTAGAAGTCCATTTACATTTATGCATTTCCTTTTTTTTATGTTATTTTCCATATGTTTTTAAAATATATTTCCAAAGGTTAGTTTTTCTCATCTCCAGTTGCAGCTTACGGAGATGGAGTCTATTTTGCTGTTGATCCAAATTATTCTGTAAGCTATGCAAAAGTAGATCCAGCAACAAACTTACACAAGATGTACCTGGCAAGAGTATTAGTGGGGGAGTCAGTAGTAACCAAACAAGGGGATAGAACACCACCTAGCAAACCTGGAAAGAATTATACTTATGATTCTGGAACTGATGGAAATGGAGTCATGTACATCATATTTCATGATGCTCAGGCCTATCCTGATTACCTTATTACATTTTAAATAGTCTCTGTGACCTTATTGAAACTCTAAATGAAACCATATTCATATATTTAATAATTAAAATTTCTCTGTGTGTTCACTTGGCCTCTAACTTGTGCATGCATGTGTTAACGACCTTTAAAACAGGCTTACACAAAAAGTCAGTGTGCAAATACACTTTTTAAAACAATATTCAAATTCATTGATCTCTATTGTTGGTGTTTTCCAAATGAAAAATGTGCACGCAAAATAAATACATAACTATTGTTAGTTGCTTTATGCATTTAATTGTTGTTTGGCCAAAAATAATGCTTCTTTCTTGCCAGCTGTAAGAATCTGAAACTGAATCAGTTGAATAAATTAATGCAATGCATATATTATTAAATTGGTTGACAAGTCAGTTCACAGATTTTTTCATCATTTCATAACAAAAACAAATTTCAACAATTTTAAAAATGTTGCACAGAGAAAATTTATTGAATTCAAAGCTGCAGGAGAAATAAAAGGAACCTTGATTTATTTGTATTTTAAAATGAAATTATTGTAAAGGCTCATTTTCTTTAGGGGATACAAAAGAGTTGGTATTTTATTCTGTCTTCAGAAATAATATACAAACATGAAGATCTTAAATGGATAACAAATACTTTATCAACTGACTACAAAATGGCCTTGCCATGATTAAAAATTTAATATAATATTTTGCTATTTAATATAGGGGACATATATACTCTAAAGCCATCACACCACTCTACTAAAGCTTTCACCCTACACTCTCTCAAGCCATTTATTCCATAATTCTCTAGTACTCAAAACTCAGTACTATAGGTACAGAAAAACATAATTCACATTTACCAAAATATAACATACTAACACGCACATCCTCGGGGTTCTCACACATAAAAATCATCTTATAATCATATCTAATGTTCATCAAAGTAATTTTAAATATTTTATTATCTAATGAAAGGTTGATATTGTCAAAATGTTTATGGTATTTTTCTAAAATATTAAGCCCTTTAAACGCTTTTCAAACGTTCATTTTTAATAACTTAATGTACATTAAATTAAAATTAAATTTATGGCATTTTTAACTTGAAATATTAAATGTGTTTTTGTAATTCATAAATAATCTTGCATTTTGATTTTAAATGCAGTAAAAAGAAAATGACATTTGAATTTTGTAACTTTTATAAAAGAATTAAAAAATAAAAAATCATTTGTAATATGTTTTGGCATATAATTTATTTTTATATACAACAGTTTATGACTTACACAAATATAAAAATATGTGTGATTAATTTAGAATTATTGAATTTCAATCTTTAATCTTCAACTTAAAATGTCAGTCTATAAATATATACAAATAAATGAAGGGATATAGGCCTATAAATTCTTTGAATTAATTTGGATTGTGTGCATTCAATAGCCTATTCATTTTTTTAAAAATATTAATAGTCATCATTGACACCTGGGAACATCTTTCTAGAAATATTGGGAATTTGTGACCTAAAATTTCTTTACTTAAAGCATAAGAATTATTATTTGTTTAAAATAAGTTACGGTCATATTAGTTTTCATTTTCTCCTAAGTGTCTACATTTAAATGAACTATTTCCTTTTTGCTTGTGCTGAAATATTTTACTTGTTTAATAACCTTTTACACCTTTTTGGGGGTATGTTTAAAAATTTTTTTACATAACAAAACACATACATTTATATATGTTACCCTTTAAGCTTGCTAGTTCTGCCTAATTAGTGGTGATCACTATTGATGTGTCAATATTATCTTATCCTTGCTATTTCTATAATCATAATTATTGGTGTTGCATGCAAACATAACCTTTAAGCTTGTGTAAGATATCTACTAATGGAAAGGGTCTTTGTTCTTCAACCATGTATCAGGCTGTTTATGTATAAATTTAGGGCACACTTATTTAATCAATTATAGAACGTGTTATGTTGGTTATAGTATCTACACTTGCATATGTCTAAATGTCAGTCATAAAATAAGGTGTAGTAATTTCATGGTGTATGGTATAGTCATTACATGCATGCTTCACTTTCTGCCTGGTCAGTATTTGGCAGTTTTAGACCTGTTTAGTTTTACGATTTTGGCGTACAATGTAAAAATTTGAAGTGTATACATTATATATACTGTGTGTTTACTTTTTTACTATGAAGATAATGTATTGGGACGATTTTGTGATGATATTGTACGATTTTTTAAAAGTTTGTGGGTAAACAGGTCTGCAGTGTAAGCTTAAGTACAGTGTTTGTATGGGGTTGCGATGTCATTTAAAGAGTTTAAGATAATGTATTGGGACGATTTTGTGATGATATTGTACGATTTTTTAAAAGTTTGTGGGTAAACAGGTCTGCAGTGTAAGCTTAAGTACAGTGTTTGTATGGGGTTGCGATGTCATTTAAAGAGTTGGTGGATTATTTCATATAAAGTTTCTCAGTTGTGATGCTTTTGTAAAAGTTAAATTTGAAAACTGTAGCTCATGATTATTTCAGTTGTATTCATTTATTTTTTAAGTATTTATTATTTAAGACTTTCTTTCTGCTTTAAATCCATTGAGTTTGTTTCTAGCATAACTTTGTTGTCCCATGTGACAATTTTGCCACAGTTGATCGCCTCTGCCTTGTAGAGAGAAAGGAGTGAGAGTGGTGGATAGGGGAGCTCAGGTGAAAGCCGTAGAATTTTGGTGAGGGTTAGTTCTGAAGGAGATAGGGGTCAGGCAATTAGACTTGGATAAATTAACAGCACACAAAAAGGGTATAAAATGCTGCAGCATTTAAATTCTACTTGTTAGTTTATTCCCTACGTAAAGCGTTTAAGTCACTTTATCTGGACTTATGTAAGCATGCAATTAGACTTGGATAAATTAACAGCACACAAAAAGGGTATAAAATGCTGCAGCATTTAAATTCTACTTGTTAGTTTATTCCCTACGTAAAGCGTTTAAGTCACTTTATCTGGACTTATGTAAGCACTGGATGTTTAAAAAAGTAAATAACAGTTTTTTTGTTGATAAAATAAAAATAACAATTTTAATACTAATAAAAAGTAGAAAATAAAAACTTTTAAAAAAAGAGACTTTCTTGCAAAGACAAGTTTAAATTAACTAAATTTTAGGAAAACAATTTTACAATGTCTTAAAATGCATCATGCAAAGAAAGTCTGTTCAGAAATTATTTAAAAAATTAATAAAAATCATTTCATTTGAATCCTTTGGCTTTATCATTGAGTGCCTTTCTGCAAGACTTTCTTTGCATAATGCAGATTAAGAAAATAAGTTTCTAATTTTAAGCGCGTTTAAAGTCTAAAAATTATTTTTCATTATTTGTGTCATCTAAAATTTCATAATCATATAAAGCTTAATTTAAAATCTTAATAAATCAAAAAACTCTAGGGAAGTTTTGTTAAAGAATATAGGTATAGTAATCATTATATTAATGGTCAATAAAAGTTAATATTGATCCCTGAACTTATTTTACCTGTAACATAACAAAAACAGCTGACCTCAATAGTGACATCCCCTCAGAAAGTGAAGCAGCATGCATGTTATGAACATACCATACACCAACCATCAAGATTTACACTAGATGGAGAGTTTAATTAAAGTCCCCCACACAGGCCACACCCTTTAATTAGGCACTGTGCTTAATAGTTTCATATGATATATGGTTTCATATGATATATTGATCATTTGAGATAATTTAAGACCTTAACCTACGCCTTTCTAATTCTGGGGCTTGGACCATACTGTGCTAGAGGCTGGATCACAAGATGCCTAGGAACTCACTTTTCATTTGAGTTATATTTTGCATTATTAATATAACTTTATGACTATTGAATAAATCATTTAACATATCAAAGGTGAACCTACAGCTTAATTGTTTTTAAAAATGTTTTATAGATTTAACATAATAGTTAAAAGGAACACTTAAAATGTGTGGAAAGAATTTAAATTATTTTCTTGAAGGAAGTGGATTTCATTGAAAGGCTGCAACATGCTAAAATGAAGCAAACTTTCCGAAAACAAAATTATTATAAAAAATGTATGCTTCAAGCACTAACTTATTTGTGACAACAACAAATACTTTTTAAAAATGTATTATAATGGGCTCTAAAACAAATTTTAAAATGACACAGCCTTTAATATTCCTATTTAACAGCACATTTATGTTGTTAATTGAATTTTATTTTAATATAATTCCTTATGTTTAAATACTTTGTTTTATATATCCAACATTCTATTAATTTATAAATTCAGTGTTAATGTTTTTGTGTTTCAATTTTTTTTTTCATTTTACACTCTGCTTTGGTGCATTCAATAATCCTTTTGTTCAATCAAGTGTGTAGGTAAATTCAGTGCTGTAGGAAAGTGCGGATTTTGAAGGACGAGGTCTGCACTTTTTTTTATTATTGAAGGGCGACCGCAACAATCTTTGCCCATTTGGCGGCAAAAACCATATATACACCACTGGTTAGATGTCTGATACCCAATGAGTCTGTTTAACCCAATGTCTCTAAAACAATCTATTTTATTTTGACCATCAGAATAGAACACTATAGGACTATAAAAATCTTAATTGGGCTCCAAGGATAGTTTCCCCAAAGGTGCTAACAACACAAAATTATGGGAAATATAGTTGTTTTTTTTAAGTAGAATAATTAAAGACAAGAAAAAATTATCTGATCTTTAAGATTATTCATTTTTAATCCCTTTCAATTTTGTGAAATAGCTCACACTCACATACATAGATTTTGGAAGAGACTTATAATGAATGCTTCAGTTAATGGGATATGTCAATTTAATTTTAATAAGTTAGTAGTACATAACTGCATTCAAATTCTTTGTGACGAACCTGCAACTGCAGGTTGAACACATTTTTTTCTATCCACATCTGACCTGTGTGTATATACACAGAGAGTACAACAGAAATTTTCATATATCTAATATGTAGTCTTGAGTCAAAAGACACAACCAAGATAAAACATTAAAATGAAGAAAAAAATCACTTTGCGCTGATTAAGTTGTGCTATAAAATGTGGAAAATAATAATAATAAAGTTTATTTGAAAATCACGCTTCATCCACAAAGGGTCGAAGTACGGTACAAAGTCAACCATATTAAAAGAGAAATGAAAAAAAAAAATGTATTATACCACATTGAAATGCAAAACGCAACATTACAAAAACTAAATACTAGAATACCTATTCTAATTCTTTCATCACTTACAAACATAAAAAACGCAGGCCAATATACTGTTGGAAATTGACAAAATGCTGAATGCTAATTACGCATTGTTTTGCACACCACATTATTCATTGTGTAGTAATGTCATGTTTTTATGCAGTCTTGTCTGTGCTCCATGTTGGTAGGACTCCATATTGTTCTTCTACAATAAAACGTGTAACTAACCTTGATGGTTGCCTCTGCTTGTTTGATTATCTTCCTTGTGAAGTACCTTAGCAACTTAATATTTTCAACATATACATCTAGGAGATAATAGCCAGCTTGAAAAGATGGTAGACAACATCACCCCAGCAGGTGTTTGCGAAATAGATGTGTTTTCAATTCGGTTTTAAAAGACTCCAGTGTCTGGCTGTTTCTGAGAGCGTCAGGAAGTGTGTTCCAAATTGTTGGGCCAGCAAATGCGACTGTGCGCCTTTCGTAAGTCTCAAGATGAACACGTAGTATCGAGAGTTTGCCATTAACGGATGAGTGGAGTTGTCTAGTGGGTACATAAGTCGTCATGAGCGCTTTGAGATAGAACGGTGTCAGGTCATGCAAGCAGCGGTAGCAAAGAGTTGCAATTTTGTACACTATGCCAGCACGGATTGTCAGCCAATGTAACTCTCTCGGAAGTGTTTTAGCATGGCCAAATTTGCGTTTGCGGATAACAACGCGAGCCGCATTATTCTGTGCTTTTTTAATTTTGACCAGGAGCGTAGCTGGAAGACCCACCGTGATAGCACGAATGCAGAAATCAGTCTCTTTGTTGCATCAAGCGTTAAGAAAGGTCTGATATGACTAATGTATAATATAGGATTGAAGCAACACCAAATTATTTATGAAAATAAAATTTGATAAAAGAATTTTTAAAAAAGTATAGTGAAAATAAAAAGTTATTCTTAAACAAAGACATAATTCATTCTTGAGCAGAAGGTACTTGAATGTATTACCAAATTTAAAACTGTATTTATCTTAACTATCCGAAGACTAAAATTTAGAAACTCAATAAGATTATAAATTATTTACACAATCCTTCCCTCAAATAATCTGTCTTGTTATGGAGGCTCATGCATACTTTTATCATTGACTTTTAAGAAGAAGAATATATTTCCAATTATTGTAAAAAAATAGTATAGGTAGACTTATATGAAATTAAATATATATTAATACTAATACTAAATTTAAGTCATTTTTACAGTAGATACAAAAGCGATGTTGTAATGTGTTATTCAAGTTGAACAAAATTATTTCTTAGTCCAGCTCACAAACATACTTTGAAACGCTAAGACAAACAAAGGCGGCGAATGCCTGGTCCACCAAGACAAAGAAAGGCCGCAAATGCCTGTTCTAGGATGCTATCCTTTAATAATTAAACTTTTTCATATGTCATGAAATGGGGGATAACTAAATTAATTGGGATGTTTAGAAATAACATATAAAAATATTATATATAATATTAATAATTTAAAAAATATTTTTAGACTATTTTCGCGGGGCATGTTATCAATGGGCTAAAATTAGCAATGCGGTTCTGGTAAAAAATTGTACTTGCCAAATTATTTAAATTTTTTAAAAGACTATTTTAATTTGGAACACACTGTAAACCAGCATTTCCCAAGGTGTTATCGGTAGACCAGCAAATAAGCCCTTTTAAAATAAAAAATATAATTTCACATTTTATTTCATCACTACTTAAAATTTAATAAAAACTACAAAACTAAAATTTAGCTACTAATTGAGATATGGTGTTTTGAAATTAAATGTTTCGATTAAAATGCATTGAAATATTGCATAATATTCTAAAAAAATAATTTTACCTTTGATGATCAGTTCAGCCTTTCTCATTTATTAAATACACAGCTTGAGTTTTTTTGGGCTTTTTTTTTTTTTTTTTTTTTTTTTACGTACAAACATTTTTTTATAATTTAATTATTCTGATAATAAGGCTTTTTGATAGTGAATTAATAACATCATTATTTACAAATTGCATATTAAGCCAATATCTTAATAAAGATTATCAATCTTGAAAATATATTTAAACAAAGAAATTAACTAGGATTTGACAAGTAAATAATCATAAATGTTAGACAGCTACTGTTTACTTAACCCACATAGAAAAACAAAAATATGCATTAATAAATCATTCTTATTTAAATGTGCTACTGTCTTATATATAGATACATTATATATTTCATGAG